GTTACCTATATCATCGAAACTATTTTTTCCTAAGATGTATGAAGCAAATGGGGGAGCTCTAGTGAACAAAAGTTGAAGGTGAATATAATGAGCAAGAGGTAGATGATTTGAAGGATGCATCGAATACATGTGGTCAAGAGTATTTTAATAAACGAAAGATGTAAAAAAGAGTTGTCGATGGCTTTGAATGTCAGTATCACAACTTTACGTTTTATTTTTGGAAAAGAATGATGCAAAGTGGAGCACAGGGAGCGGAATGATGAGCATTTAACATATACACACAATAAATAAATAAATAGATACTCTAAGTACTAAAACCACTACATTGTTATAGAGAAGCGTTATTTAGAACTTTTTTTATGATAAGCATTTACAGTGTTTTTAGGCAACGTGCTATGTCAGTTTGACAGCCATTAGAGACATGCTCTTGGCAAAATGTAAACACTGACTTTCCCTGAAAAGGCAAAGTTTAAAATAGACAGACTACAGGGACATGGTTTATGCACCAAAACCATACAATAAACAAAGTTGTTTTGGTTCTTAGCGTGTTTCTTTAAATGCTTTCTAAGATATCTGAATCATAGCCAATTTTCAAATGAAGCAGACTTTTCTGTTCTTTGTATAGACATTTAGTGCTCAATTGAAGTTGTCATAGATGTCCATATGACCTCTATAAAAGAGTTTACATTTCTTTGGTATATGGCTTGCATGTTATGTGTAGTTATCTTTCAGTTCCTTTGTTGACTCACCAGTCTAGGTTCAGATGTAGTCACAACCACAACTCAGACAAGAGAGCCATTTACTTTTCAGCTGATAAGGAGAAATAAATTATCTGTGTTGAAACAATAAAAGACATATGATTAGAGTATATATTTTTATTGCTGAGTTACAAAGAAGTGGATTGTGATTTGTCTGTTCATATTGCTGGACTGATAAAGATGGAACTTTAATTTACATTGCCATCAGATCTACCTAGATAAAGGGATAAGATAGATATTGGAGAGTGTAGGGCTGGCAACTTTTGGCCTGGGTAGAAAAAAGAATATACTGATGCTGTCTCATAATGCAACCTTCATGCCACATCTTCACAGATATAAAATACAATAAAGTTAACTTAATTAATATCATGTAAGCAAATAAAATAGTTTTACAAATTTTTCAGGAAAATAGAGCCAATCCAACTTACCGATTTTTATTGCATCACTCCCACATAATGCAGAATGTGAAAAATAGTGTACTCGCTCATTTAAAAGTTTAATTGAAAAATCCTTCCTTATTTTCAAGTTGTTTTTTCTGTTTTGCTAGTAAAATATATAAATATGTGTATACCTACTGGAAGCTAAATGTTAGATTAGTGTGAGAAAATTTAGGATCTTCACTGGATGTGCGAAAAATATTATAGACAACAATGTGAAAGAATGTGTTATTTTTTTATTTAGGTCTTCCCAGTTTTTCACCAATTATTCACATGTATTGTTATTATTATTATCGCCATTTATATAGTGCCAACAGATTCCGTAGTGCTTTACAATATTATGAGAGGGGGGATTTAACTATAAATAGGACAATTACAAGAAAACTTACCTGTAATGTTAGGTATATATATATATATATATATATACAAACAGAAAAATACCGGCACTCCCAGGGTTTCCAAATCAAAATCTTTTTTTATTCTGAATAGTACATCAACGTTTCAGCTCCCCTAAGGAGCTTTCCTGATGAAAGCTCCTTAGGGGAGCTGAAACGTAGATGTACTATTCGGAATAAAAGAAGATTTTGATTTAGAAACCCTGGGAGTGCAGGTATTTTTCTGTTTGTATCATTTAGCAACCAGAGCACCAGGTAGTATTTATTTTTGTCGGAGTGCAGGAGTTCTCTCTCTCTCTCTCTCTCTCTCTCTATATATATATATATATAGATATATATATATATATATATATATATATATCTATATATATATATATATAGTATGATACTAAATGAAAGCCCTTTCTGCCATTTAAAAAACATATTTATAATATTTATGGGGACACTTGAAGAGAAACCCTTAAATTACGGTGGAGCAAACCTATAGCTCAAATGTTAGGTATTGTTTTGGTTTAGAATGTTGACAATTGCCTCCATCATTAAGGAGTTATTTGATATTTTTTTTTTGTATTTGTTAAGTGTATAGGAAGACATATAAACAATTAAATAGATAAATTATATGTGAAAAAAAAATGTGGAGAAACTAGATTAAAAGTTTCAGCGTTGCCAGTAAATATCTTCTGTTAGGTGCTGTAATAAAAAGCCATTAGATATTTATCAACCACAAATTACCAACCTTGTCACTACTTTTTAGTGGGTCATCATTAGTAATTTGTACCTCAGCTGTTAGTGATAACCAGATAATGAAAATTGAAAAAAGTGCATGTAACCGTGAATTACCATAACAACAATAATACTGAAAACTTTAAGTTTAAAGTTCTCAGGACCACACTAATAAAGGGTGGGACGGGCAGAATGGTGAAAAGTAATAATGGGGCCTAGAGTTGCTCAATCTCTGGGGCCCCTTGTAACTAAAAATTCATCTCCCTTTATGGTTGAGTACAGTACTCAAGTTTCTAGTCACCCTTCCTAAATTAAAAAATGAAAAAAAAACAAAAACAAAAAACCTCTGCAATAATCTGTTTTATTTTATACTTTCCATTTATAGTATTTGTTCAATCTTCTGATTTGTATAAAAATTCATACACAATTTTTTTTTTAAATGGACGCAACAAAAATAATCCAAGCAAGCTCATCAAGGTCTCAACTGAGCATTCCAGGCAAAAATATGTTGTCAGGACACTGTGATTGGTTAGCTTGGAAGTCCCTGCACTGATAGACAAGTCTTAATTTGTGTATGAGATTTATTATAATATATACACAAATACATCAAAATAGATTTTTGGGCACATGTAACTTTTGCGACAAAATATAAATTTGGATATGTTCACTTGCTGTTTCAAAACCAGTTTCTGCTGACTTTAGAGTCAAATTGTATTATTTTTTTCACTAACATATTGCATTTAAATTGTGATTTTAACAGCTCTCAATTTGTATTTTACAGCATCTTCCGAGAAAGTCTAGACTATTGTATCGTTACTTTTCTTGCAGTTCTATCTCTTTTTATTGCTATTAGATATATATTCACTAAACTGTGATTTTGGAATCTGGACACTCCAAAAAGAAAAATGATGAGGTTCTCTGTAGAAATGAAATTCTAACCTCCATGGAATAAACACCCAAGTGTAAAATTGTGAAAGAATACAAATGGTTATCAATTTTTAATGATACTAAATTATTCTGTCACTTTTTTTCTCTATTTTCCACCACTCCCCCCCCAAATGTAAATATTACTAAATATAATATAATGAAAGCTCTGTCTGTGCCTTAAACCAATCTATAGCAAGTAAGTGTATTCAATGAAAGAATTAATTATACTTGAGAACATGTTTAGTGAAATTGCAAATTTCCTATGCTCCTTAAGAATCAAACAAGCTAAAATAGGTTTACATACTCTTTCAATCTCTAAAATAATCACTGAATGAAAATGATTTTAAAGTTCCTGTATTCTATTGTCCCTAACACCACTTCAAAGAATATAAAAATAATTTTGTGCTTTAAACAGCTTTTCTTTCCCCAGGGTGTATATAAGGTCATGGTTAAAGTGCAGTTTATGAACTCTTCCCCTACTGAAAAAACATTTCAGTAGAGAAAGGTCACAAAATACTTGGTACTCTGACATACTTTCTAACCCCCGGATGAGAAACAAATTAAAACAACTGCATTTATGAACTGCTCCTCAAGGTTCACTAAGGTCATTTATTTATTTTTTTCTTTCAAAATTTTTATTATTGCATGGGATCACAGAAAGTAAAAAGGAAGGTGGAAAATTAAACAACGTTTGAAACGGAATAGGCAAGAAGCATCCAAAAACAAAAAATAGTTTGAAGGAAGGTAAGGCGACAAGTAGAAAATGAGAAAGAAGCAGAGGAGGGGGAACAAGGGCAGAGGAAAAAGGAGGTAGGGAGGTGGATTGGGAAAAATGAAACAAGTGAAAAGGTAGGAAAAAAATTGGGGAAAGAGAAAAAGAAATAGGAAGTAAAATGATAGCAGAGTATGGTACTTTATGGGGTAAAGGAAGGGAAAAGTACATTGTCTCCAATAACTGCCTGCACTATATGTCTAATAACAATTTAATGTATTAGTTGCTTGTGGCAAGAAGCAACTGATAAATAGTGGCTTGCGAGTAAAGTGTAGCACCAGAGCAATAGGATGTGTATGGATATACATTAACCTCTTTACACCAGACCAGATGCTGGTGTTAAAGGGACACTGTAAGCACCAAAACAACTTTATCCTAACATGTATATATCATGCTCCTGCAGTCTCACTGCTCTTCTCAGTTCTCTGCCATTAAGGAGTTAATTCATTTTAACCTCCCTGGTTCATTTTCAGTACTAAAAGCGGTAACCCTGAGTCACGCTCAGGATTACACTGTAGTATCACTTACCTTGTCCCTACGAGCCCCTGGTGTCCTCCCGCAGTGTCCTCCGCCCGATGCAGGCATCCGTCTTCTGGGTTCCCTTCCCAGCGAGCACCAACAATGCAGAGGGACGGAACCAGGCGGGAAATTAAAAAAAGTAAACATACACACAATACATTGTACTACATTGTAATACAGTGCAATCTGTTAGGATTACATTACTGTATCAAACCTTTTCACTTCAGTTTTGTCCCAGTGCTTTGTAAAGTGTCATGCCAGAACTTTTACTGTTCTTTCTCCCTGGAAACTTGAGAACGTCCATGGCATCCAAAAAGCGTCCCTTTAGGTCAGAAATGGTTTTAGACCAGCTAGAAAACAACGATAGTGAATAGTGATGTCCCGAACGGTTTGCCACGAACGGTTCGCCGCGAACGATTCGCCACGGACTCATCATTGAGTAAACTTTGACCCTGTACCTCACAGTCAGCAGACACATTCCAGCCAATCAGCAGCAGACCCTCCCTCCCAGACCCTCCCACCTCCTGGACAGCTCACTAAGAATGCAGCTTCACAATGTGAGCTGTCCAGGAGGTGGGAGGGTCTGGGAGGGAGGGTCTGCTGCTGATTGGCTGGAATGTGTCTGCTGACTGTGAGGTACAGGGTCACAGTTTACTCAATGATGAGTCCCCGGCGAACCGTTCGTGGCGAACCGTTCGGCGAACCGTTCGGGACATCACTAATAGTGAATTAGAATTACTTGCACAACTGAGCTATAGTGATTCATGGAAAAATTCATCATCAGACACTGAAAGTGACGACAGCGACGATTCTGCGACTGAGCTCAGTGATGTGCGAACTTGGTGCTCTATTGACTGTGGTGCGAATCAGGCAGCGCCCCCCAAGATTCCCATTTGCTGTAGCATTTGGTATGAAAGTAGACGTTGAACACAACAACCCCTTGGCATACTTACAATTATTTCTGACCGATGAGGTTATTGAAAAAATAGTTACTAAGACAAATCAGTACAAAGAGCAACAATTAGCTACTCTGCATCGGAAGATATCAATAAGCAGAAAGTGGGAACCACTGACCAAAGATGACATTTGGAAATTTCTGGGACTAATAATACTTCAAGGAGTGGTGGGGAAACCCCTGCAAAAGTGGTATTGGACAACTAATAAATTACTTGCCACTCTATTTTTCGATAAGGTCATGTAAGATTACAGATTTTCCCTGATCAAGATATTTTTAGACTTCGAAAACAACAAAGAATTTGATTAAACTGCACCAAAACTAAAGAAAATTTGGGAAGTATCTGAAATGATTCTAAAGAATTTCCAGTGGAACTAAGTGCCAGAAAGAGATATCAGCATGGATGAAAGTCTAATGGCCTACAAGGGAAGGCTCAACTGGGTACAATACATTGCATCAAAGAGAGCACAATTGGGAGTAAAATCCTACATGCTATGCGAATCGTCACCTGGCTACATTTGGAATTCAGTCATTTACACTGGAAAAGGAACAAAATTCAATCCAAAATACAGCAACTATGGAATGGCAACATCTTCCGTTCTTTCACTCATTGAGCCATTGCTAAGTCAGGGCTATTGCACAACAACCAACAACTTTTATACATCTCCTTTATGAGTTTCTTCTGCAAAACAAAACAGATGGCTATGGAACCGTTAAGGCTAACCGGCGCGACATGCTACCAATGTTTGGCAATAAGAAGCTGAAGACTGGAGAAATGGTTGCCTGGCAAAAAGGCAAAATGATGGCACTGCGTTGGTGTGACAAGAAAGATGTATGCCTAATGAGTACAGTTCATAATACCTCCACTGTTATGGTACGCATGAAAGGTGGGAAAGAAATCATGAAGCCACAAGTAGTGATAGACTACAATAACACCGTGGGAGGTATCGATAGAGCCGACTAAACAATGATATTCTAACCAGCAATGAGGAAACAGTAAAAGAAGTACTATAAGAAGATCTTCAGATATCATCTTGAGCAATGCTTGTGGAATGCCTACATTCTGTTAAAAAAGCTTGTGATTAATTCTGACTTCATTTGGAAAGTTGCCAAACGTATCTTTGCCAAAAGTGAACCACGAAACACTATTAATGGCTGTGTTACAGATGGATGTCGTGCTGTTGGCTTTGTCCACCCGGAACGCCTGACTGGTCATCACTTCATGGACTACATCCCACCAACCGAGAAAAAGTCAGCACCTACAAGGATGTGCGTGGTTTGTTGCTCGAAGCGAGATGACAGTGGAAAGAAAATCATAAATGAAAGCAGGCTCCATTATCCTGATTGTGACGTCGGACTTTGTGCAGTCCCATGTTTAAAAAAATGTCATACCCGGGATGTTTACTAAACCAATATGCAGTGTTTATTATTACAGTGACTAGTAATATTGCATCCTTGTTTGGATACAGTTCAATGTTTTTGGTTTGATTACATTATTAATTAAATGTATTATTATATTATTATTTTTTATAATTATTTTTTATAATTATTTATTATAATTTATGATTTTGTGTTTTTAAACTTTATCATACCCGAGATGTCTAGACTAGACTCTATACTAGACTCTTGTTTGGACAGATTTAAATGAGTTAATCCTAAAAATTACGAGCCTACAATATGAAACAACAAATTTCCATACAAAACAAGCGGTATGCTTTAACATTCAAATATACTGATATAATCAGACTGCCAGGGAGATTAAAGGGACACCATAGTCACCAACACAACTTTAGCTTAATTAAGCAGTTTTGGTGTATAGATCATGCCTCTGCAGTCTCATTATCTGCCATTTAAGAGTTAAATCAATTTGTTTAAGCACCCCTAGGCACACCTCCCTGCAATTGACTTACACTGCCTTCCTAAACACTTCCTGTAAAATTATCTAATGTTCACACTTCCTTTCATACCATTTCTGTTGAATTTTGAATTTCCTATCTCGTACTCTGCTAAGAGCTTGCTAGACCCTGCAGGAGTCTCCTGTATGTAATTAAATCTCAATTTACAGAAAAAGAGATAAAAAAGTAAGTTACGTGCTCGTTGTCTGGACCGGGACTGTGGAGCTCTTCACTCGCTTCGTTACACATTTGAACACTAATAATCTTAATCCCTTAATTCTCTGAACTGCAAATTGAGTATAACAGATACGTTGGAGATCAGTACAACTCTTTTCCGGAAACCCTATTCAAGCAATACAATGGTTAGATGGGATAGTTACCATCCAACCCCCCTAAAAGGTGGGATACCGATTGGCCAATATTTGAGGGTGAGGCATAACTGTTCTTCCCTTGAGGACTTCAAGGAAAAGTCCACCCAGCTTAAAAAAAGATTCAGGGAAAGGGGTTACCCCAACATGTGCCTTAAAAGAGCCTATCAGAGAGCTTTACTCAGTGAAAGACTTTTCAGTGACAATAATGTTTCAGAAGTTGCTAAACAGATAAGATGTGTGGCGAATTTTGATTCAGGATGGGAAATGGCCAAGACGATGATGGATCGCTTCTGACCCACATCTATTCCCAATTATCTCCTAAAAAGCTTCCTTGACAGCTAAAAGAGGGAAAATCTTAAAGATCTATTGGTACCTAGTCATCTATGGACTTCATCTGTCAAGAGAAGTTGGATCTCCGTGGTAGGTACCTATCAATGTGGTTACTGCATGGCATGTAGGTATATCCTGAAAGGATCAAAAACGATCACAGATTCCATGAACACACTTAAAATTCCTGTTAAACTATTTTTCAGTTGTAACACCTCAGGAGTTATATATCTTTTAACATGTGAGTGTGGCCTGAAATATGTGGGAAAGACAATACGCCTATTTAAAAGAAGGATCATGGAAGATATTCATTCTGTGATTTCCTTAAAAGACACACCTGTGGCAAGACACGTGAGGACATACCACAGAGTTTCTTTCAAGGGTATGAAATTCTCGGGTATAGAAAGAGTCAGTGTGGGCAAGAGGGGAGGCAACCTCGATTTAGCCCTCAAAAAAAGAGAATGTTTTTGAATTTTTAGATTAGACACTCTGGCACCCAAGGGTTTCACAGTCTTCCCTTTATTGGCAGCTAATAGACTTGGATTTATACAATTTATACAATTTAGGATTTTTTGTGATAGATTATTTATTTATTTATTATTTATTATGTTTTAATATTTTTATTACTTTTTTGTATATTTTTGGGAAGGGTTTAATCATTATGAGTACCACTTCTTAGTACTTCATCTGAGCCCTCCCCCCTCCTCCCCATTCCCCCTCTAGACGTTATTTATTTTCAGCACTAAGGATAATCTAGAACCTTACTAATTTCCCATCCAGTGACCCTTAAAGGACCGCTATAGTGCCAGGAAAACATACTAATTTTCCTGGCACTATAGTGCCCTGAGGGTGCCCCCACCCTCAGGGTCCCCCTCCCGCCCAGCTCCGGAAGGGGGTTAAATCTTACCTTTTTCCAGCGCTGGGCGGAGAGCTCTCCTCCTCCGATCCACCTCTTCTCCTCACCGTCGGCTGAATGCGCACGTGCGGCAAGAGCTGCGCGCGCATTCAGCCGGTCACATAGGAAATCATTATCAATGCTTTCCTATGGACGCTGGCATGCTCTCACTGTGAAAATCACAGTGAGAAGCACGCAAGCGCCTCTAGCGGCTGTCAATGAGACAGCAGCTAGAGGAAATAGGGGAAGGCTTAACCCATTCATAAACATAGCAGTTTCTCTGAAACTGCTATGTTTATGAAAAAATGGGTTAAGCCTAGCTGGACCTGGCACCCAGACCACTTCATTAAGCTGAAGTGGTCTGGGTGCCTAGAGTGGTCCTTTAATATAGACATAATACCTGTTGTTATCTGCTCTATTTGAGTATTTGAGTACAATGGTGGTCTCAGATGGGTCTATAATGGCACACTATAAAGTATGACAATACTTGGTTTATGTTATTTTGTCTAATCCTAGACATGGGGTATGTCTTCCAGCCAACAATCATAAGAAGTGGGTACTGAGGACTCGATGTATATTGAAGACTCCATCCCCTCTACTATACAATGAAAGGGTCGGCATAAACACTGGTTTCCCCTTCATTCCTTCTGAAATTACCACATAGGAATTCTCCCATTTTCCTCCGTATAAGGGTATGTATGAAGATGGGCGGTTCCTTGTACAAGGGAGTTAACAACAGGGGTAGGCTCTATGATGAGCGATTTCACCACACACGCCCCCTTGAGCCGCGATTGGTCGAGGTTATCACATGACTGATTTCTTTGCTCATTTATAAGGGGACCAGGTAAGCGGCTCCATTGAGTGCCTCAGACGTTTCGCTTTAGAAGCAAAACGCGCGTCGAGGTTATTACAGGTTCAAATTGGCTATAAGAACAAACTATATGACTCAGATTTCCTACTATAGTGGCATTTTTCTTCTGGGGCTTTAGAGTCCTTTAATTCTAGCCACAAGAGGTCTGAAATCGTTATATACATCTTGCTTTTTACAATCAACTCAAACTATTATACAGCTGTAGGGTATAAAGAATACACTGTCCAATGGTTAACTAGTGATCACTATACTATACCCTTAATAGTGGTTTTGCTTTAGAAGGCTATTTCATTGCCTTTTTTTGTATTGCCA